CCTTGCTTCACCCAGTACATCAACGTTTCACGGTGCCATGTGTCCGACGCTACAACAGGTAAACCATGCCGGAATCGAAGCGCATGCGGAGGAAGGCGGCGGGTAAAGCGAGGAGGGAGAACAAGCAGCAGAAGAAGAACGGACGCGAGGGATCCGGAGTTCTCCGCGACTCGGGAGGGAACGCGTTGATGGTGGCACCCAACGCCGGCTCCAGCAACTGTGCACTCCTTACCCTTCTCACCCAGTGGATGCGGAGCGTCGGGGTCCCCTCTAACACCGCTGTCGCAGCCGTCAACGGCAAGCTTTCCCCGGAGATGGTGGAAAGGGTGAAGTGGCTTCGCAAGGCCATCGTGGATGCATCCCACGGACACCCTTTGTGGGAGAACCTAGACGACGACGGGACGAAGGAAACTCGCACATTCGAAGAGGTTGTGCAAGACCCGAACCACATAATCGAGACGAGGGAGGTGTGGGAGTTGGTGACGCTCTGTCTGCACGGCTACCTCGACGGTAGGGGGTTGATGATCGGAGCGGAGATTCTGGGGATGCATGGGTTCAAGATCGTCTCGGCAGACGGTGATGGAAACGTGCGGCCGGTCGACGGGTGGTTCGATTCGACGGTGGGGGTCCCCATGGCTATTCACCACGCCTACGGCCACTACGAGGCTGTTTTCCCACGGGTGAGTTTTGATAAAAAAACTTTGGGACTACTATATCTAGAAGGTGTATGTCATGTATCTTTTTGAGCAAGCTTTTCTAGTCTGCCCTCCCAAACGCCTTGTCAATCGCCGAAAACAATTAACCACCGTGCTTTCGAACCCGATTTGGCTTGCATCTCAGGATGAGGGTGTCAAGGGAGTGGATGATGCTTGGACGGCCACGATGGACAAGCCGCGTGGCGACGCTTTGGACGACGCAGCTCTTGTGAGGACGACATCACGAGGAATGCTGAGACGGACGACGAGTGGCAGCACACCCAGCACACCCCCGCGCTTGTACCCTTCGATGAACCGGCCGGCGAGGTCCCCAGTAACTGGGATGACGCCTGGGATGGCACCACGAGGAATATCGAGACGGACGAGGGACAGCACACCCAGCACACCCCCGCACCCGTCCCCTCTATGAGCCTGTCGGCGAGGTCCCCAGCAACTGGGATGACGCCTGGGATGGTACCGCGAGGAATATCGAGACGGACGAGGGACAGCACACTCAGCACAACCCCGCGCCTGTCCCCTTCTCTCAACCGGCCGGCGAGGTCTCCGCCAACTGGGGTGACACCGCCACCGGTGCTGGCATCGCCAACGGAACTGGTATCGTCAACGCAGCTGGCTTTGAAGAGCTTGGTACCGCTATTTATCTACTGCTGTTTGTCCGGTTGCTCTCGGCCACCATCAGCATCCACAGCGCCGGAGTCCCGGTCAGCCTATCTCACGAGTGGACTGCAACTTCATGGTCGCCTACCACCGGTACACGAAGTATCTACCGCTCAAGATTTTCTACCGCCAGGTCCTTACCAGGAAGCTTCAAGTAGAGAAGTCCGTCAGGGAGATGGTGGAGAAGGGATACACTTGCAAGCAAGTAGAGTTGTTCGTGGGAGGCAAGGAAATGAGAGAGATGGATTCCCTAAAGAACTCAGAGAAAGGGAGGAAGAAGAAGCGTATGTGTGCGCGCGTGGTTAAGAAGTCGGTTGCAGTTCGGGAACTTGTGGAAATTGTCAACGGTATTCTCGGGATGGGGGTTTGCGATAAGCTGATCTTTTCGTTTCTGTGATTAATTAAATGTTCAAAATAACACCATCGCCTTCGGGCAACCAGGTTATATAATTTACTTTATCGCGAATGTTCATCGAGCTCGTGTGTCTGGCATGTGTTTAGGAGCATGCCAATTGCGGAGTCGCACATTGCTAAAGCCTGTGGACGTCCGCGTCGTCCAAAGCAGCATCAGAACAACAAATTCTTGATCTTGAAAAGCATAATGATCACCCACACGGCACCGGCGGCATATATATACATCATGTAGTTCTCGCCCAAAAGAGACTCAGGAGCTTGTCTGTAGTACCTCCGACCACGCTGACCGCGGCTTCGGCAGCTTTTTCGACCATATCGCCAGCGAAGTCCGTCAGTTCGTCGAAGGCTTCTGCGAAACTCGCGCCTTCAGCCATCCGAAACGCGATAAACCCGGCGGCTGCGGTCGATGTGATTTTCGCGGCGGCTATTTTGGGGTTTCTTTTCATGGCGCCGGCCACCTGGCTCAGTTTGCTCTTGGCGCCTGGATGCGAAGCAAATTCGTTCATGGAAGCCACCATCTCTTTGGAGGTCTTCTTGCTGGACTTTAGCACGGACGCCTTTTTCAAAACGGTCGAGCTTGGTACAGCATTCTTAGCCTTCTTCAATGCAGACGACATGTCCACATTCTTGACTGCCGCCTTGGCCGCGCTGGCGGCAGAGGATGGTTTTTTCGCTATGTTTAGGTTGGAGAAGAGAGAGCTGGCGGCCCTCGGCATTTCTCTGTTTTGTACACATGCTTTACATTAAAAATAATTATTTTGTATGCTAGGAGTAACTACTCATTTCTTACAACAACGGCATGAAACAGCGAGCAGTCGTAATACTAGTCATAAGCGTGATTGTGTCAGTTTACATCTCCACTCTCCCTTCTTCCCCTCGCTCCTCGACAAGCTTTTGCTTAGACATGGGTTGTAGTGAAGGGGGGGGTCTTTCTGGCGAGCAGGGCTAGACTCACCCTCAAGGGATGACCGAAACCTTCTTGCTGCTGCGCATATCCGCCGCGAGGCATGCGCGTGGTGGTGTAGTTGGGTCGGC